GGTCGCCGTGTACCCTTCTAAATGTCTGACCACCCCTACCCCTAATATAGAAAGCTGTACATGTTGCCCTTTAAATTGTTTATTCACACTTGAACACAGAAAAATAAGTCTCCACTAGAATTCTTTTCAAATATCCAAGATAATGTGGACAGAGAGAGAAATTCAGAGGAAGGAAGTTGGAGGAAGTCACTACCTGTTGGAATGATGTCTTTTTGCTAGATGACTGTTACCTCCTAATGAGCCCAAGTTTTAAAATAATAATAAACTAAATCAATCCAAACACCTCCCTCCCTCAACACATGAGGATTACAATTTGAGATGAGATTTGGGTGGGGACCCAGAGCCAAACCATATCATTTCTCCGCTCACCGTTTCCAAATCTGATGTCTTTTCACATTTCAAAACCAATCATCCCTTCCCAAGAGGCTCCCAAACTCCATTCCAGCATTAACTCCAAAGTACACAGTCCAAAGTCTCATCTGAGACAAGGCAAGTCCCATCCACCTATGATCATGTAAAATCAAAAGCAAATTAGTTACTTCCTAGATCCAATGAGGGTACAGACATTGGGTAAATGCTCCCATTCCAAATAGGAGAAATTGGCCAAAACAAAGGGACCTCAGGCCCCATGCAAGTCCAAAATCCACTGGAGTAGTCATTACATCGTAAAGCTCTGAAATGATCTCCTTTGACTCCATGTCTCACATCTGGGGCACAGTGCTGCAAGGTGCAGGCTCCCACCACCTTGGGTAGCACTCTCGTGCTGGTGTTGAGTGTCTGTGGCTTTTCCAGGCACACTGTGCAAGCTGTTGGTGAATGTACCATTCTGGGGACTGTGGGACAGTGACCCTCTTTTCACAGCTCCACTATGCCCAGTGGAGACTCTGTGTGAGGGCTGCAACCACACATTTCGCCTTTGTACTGCCCCAGCAGAGTTTCTTCATGAGGGCTCTGCCCCTGAAGCAGACTACCACCTGGACACCCAGGCATTTCCATACTTCCTCTGAAATCAAGGTGGAGGTTCCCAAAGGTCAACTCTTGCCTTCTGTGCATCAAAAATACAACTGAAATGTGATCTGGAGTTGAGTTGCATTCATAAAATTATCTGAGATAAATTCATCTTTTTATAATATTGTGTCATCCTGTGTAAGAAAATAAACAGTTTTTCATTTTTTCAAATTATTTGTCATGTGCCTCTTAGGGATTAACATTTTGTGAACAGAGGTCCTATTCACTATAGAGTAAGTTAATACCTAGGCTCTTTCATTGTTTCTTGCTACTGAGAAAGATGACATGTTTCATTACAATTTTTATTTGGTTTTGCTGGTATAAGGAAATATTAATTTGTATTGGTTCAAATCTGACAGCTTTACTTATTTATAAGTTACTTTACTTGTTGACTTGGTTGTGTTCTCTATCTATATAGTCATTTCAAATATAATTTTTTTATCAGTGTCCAAGATATCTATCTAACAATATGTACAACAGAAGGAAAAATAATGGGCATTCTACTCTTGTTCCCAGTATTTTTTTTTTAGACAGAATCTTGCTGTGTCGCCCAGGCTGGAGTGTAGTGGCACAATCTCGGCTCACTGAAACCTCTACCTCTTGGGTTCAGGTGATTCTCCTGTCTTAGACTCCTGAGTAGCTGGGATTACAGGTGTGCACCACCACACCTGGCTAATTTTTGTATTTTTAGTAGAGACAGGGTTCTACCATGTTAGCCAGTCTCATCTTGAACTCCTGACATCAGGTGATCTGCATGCCTCAGCCTCCCAAAGTGCTGGGATTACAGGCATAAGCCAACGCACCTGGCCCCCAGTCTTAAAAAGAATGTATTTAACTACTATTTTTCATTAAGAGTATTTGATGTAGACTTTGGTACATAACCCTCACCAAATCAAGGAAATTCTTTTATAAAACAGGCTTGTAAGCTAGTTGTTGTTGTTTTAATCATAAATAGATATTGAAATTTTTCAATGTTTCCCCCCCGCAACTATTGAGATAGCCAAATGATTTTGGAGTCATCTGCTGATTTGTAAGCAGTGGCTAAGAGCTTTGGCTGTCTCACATGTTTATGGAATCAATTGTTTGTAAATGTGATAAAATGAGATCCAGAGAGATTAAAAGAGCATTGAGATAAATCCAGTATTTTGTATTACTTTTCCTCTTGAGGTGGTTGTGGCTTAGGGCCGAGAAGCAATGACGCTGAAATGTTTCAGCTAAGGGGATAGGAAGATAAGCAGATGATCTGTTAATTTTGTATGGCTCTTGAGACAAAACAAAGTATCTCAGAGCCTGTCAAGAGGAAGGAGAATTACTAGGTATAAAGCAAAAGACAACAAAAGAAATTCTATTTAGGACCTTGGCAAAGCTCTACCCTAAAAAAATACAGTGAATTTGAAGTACATAAGCCTTCAAAAAAAGTGATATACAGCATCCAACCACTGAATTTCCATGTGTCATAGTCTTCCTCTACTCTGATGCCAGCAATTGAAAATCATCTGGAAGGCCTGACATCATCTAAAGTCTCAAATGTTCTCTATAATTTTTATATACAGTATCAGAAAAACATTTAAATATTTTCAAGTGTTCCAGGAGATAGAAGAAAATGACTAAAGACAATAAAAACAATAGACCCGCAGGTTTTATACATACTAGAAGCATCATACATCCTTGAGGATAAATATAATTAATTTCTTGTGCTAAAAATAGTACATGGAAAAATGGGGAGATTCATCATAGGACTGGAATCTTTAACAAAAAGAATCCAATGGCCAAGAGGTCATTTTAGAACTGCAATATACAGTAACCGAAAGTCAGAATTTAATATACAGGTTTAACAGCAGATTAGAAACAACAGAAGAGAAACTCGGTGAACTGAAGGATTGGTCATCAAAAATGTTCATATAAAAGCATGAGAAGAATAGAAGATGCAGAAAAAAGACAAAAAATCTACACAGTGTACTATATAACACATACATATAAATACATATTATGGAACACAAAAAGAAAGATAACATAGTTTTACTAACATTAAAAACCCTAGACACTACAGCAAAAAAATCAAAAATAAAAAGAGACATTTTAGAATGATTAATAGGTCATTAATTAATAGGTGAGAAGGGAGATAATGAGTTGGGCCAATGGATTAATTAGTATGGGAAGGATTAAACCAACATTTTCAGGGCATGGGCCTGATGGCTTGTTTAGCTGACCTTACTTAGAACATGGTGTAATAGGTAGCATGGAGGGTTTTGAATTCTCAGGTATGGGTTCAATTCCTATAGTTCTAGAAAGAAGAGGGTTTAAACCTCTATGATTTACTCTATCAAAGTAATTCTTTTATCAGACATCTTTCTTATGTTTGAGGTGGGGTGCTGGATGTTAGGATGGGTATCAAAATATATCATATACATAGCGCTAGTGTAAGTGGCAAAATATTTTTTCATAGGAGATATATCAATTGGTGGTAGCGGAATTGAGGATATGGTGTTTGAATTCACAAAAATAAGGTGGTTATAAGGAGGGTTTTAGAGATGAAATTTATTGTGATAATAAACTAATTAAGATATAGGATATAAGAATTGGGTTAACTAACAGTAGCTATTCCGGTCTGATATAAGCTTATTCGGAGAAGGATATTTTCATGTTACTTATACTAACATTGTTGCTTCTATTGAATAATAGATTAGTCCAGTGTGATTTTAGGAGTTCAGTAAAGTGAGTAGAATTAAGAGTGATTGAATATTCAGCTTGAATGCTTTCTTAATTGGTGCTGCTTTTAGGCCAACTATAGTAATGAAAAGTTTTACTCTCTGTGAAAGGTTATTTCTTAGGGTCTGAAGAGCTGTCCCTCTTCAGCCTAACAATTAAATTTACAGGGGGATTAAATAATTCTGTAGGTAAATTTAAGGTTGAACTAAGATTCTGTCTTGGACAACCAGCTATCACCAGGCTTGGTAGGTTTGTTGTCACTACCCATAGATTTTCCCACTATTTTGCCACATAGATGGGTGTGCTCTTTTAGCTATCCTTGGGTAGTTCACTTGGTTTCGGGGAGCATTGTTGAAGTTCTCTGTACAAGGTTATTTCTAGTTAATTCATTATGCAGAAGGTAGAAGGATTTGTCTTTGTTTTTTGATGCTTTGTTTTTTCGTCTTTCCCTTACGGTACTGTATCTGTTGCGCCTAAATGCAATTTCTATCACCTATACTTTTATAATAGGTAAATGATTTAATTATTATAATTTGGTAGTATAATTACCTGAGGTTGGGGCTAGAACAAAGTGATCAGGTTAATGATGAGATCTTCCGGGTGTAAGCTGGTTGCTTTAGGCTAAGCTACACTTTGGTTCACTCAAGCGCACTTTCCAGTAAGCTTACCATGTTACAACTTATCCCCTCTATATCAGCATGTAGTGGTTTTTGGTAAAGTACTTTTATATGATGTTTGAGGAGGGTGATGGGCAGTGTGTGCGTGCTTCATGGCCTTATTCAATCAAGCTCTCTATTCCAGATTTACCGCTAAATCTTCCTTGGGTCTTTAGGTTTCATAAAGGTTGGTATAGAATTTTCTGAATTAGAAAATGTAGTCCATTTCTTCCCACATCATTGGCTACGCCTTGACCTAAGGTTTTTGTGGTCATACTTGTGCTTACTTTATAACCTTTGAAGGGCTTGCTGAAGATAGCGGTATATGGGCTGGGGGCAACGGGTGGTGAGGTCTATTGGGGTTTATCGGTTACGGAACAGGCTCCTCTAGAGAGATATAAAGCACCGTAAAGTCCTATGAGTTTTAACCTGTTCCTTGTAGTATTCTGGCAAGTAATTCTGTTGATTAAATCATTGAGGTTTAGGGCTAAGCATAGTGGGGTGTCTAATCTCAGTTTGTATCTTAGCCATTGTGTCTTTAAGTGTTAAAGCCACTTTCATAGTATATTTTATTATAGCTGGAGTTTTCTGCAGCTTAGATATAGATTAGCTTTATTGAGGATAGACCTTAAACACTCTTTACGCCAGGTTCTATTAACTTGAGTTAATCGTATGGGCTCGGTGGCTGGCACAAAATTGACCAACTCTTATAATTAGTGTAGCTTAGTTAAACTTTCGTTTATTGCTAAAAGTTTGTCACTGCTGTTTCCCGTGGGGGCGTGGCTGAGCAAAGTGTTTTGAGCTGCATGTGTGTGCTTGATACCTGCTCCTCTTGTTCTGGAAATCTAGAGGGCATTTTCACAGAGGTGTGGATACTTGCATCTGTAATCTCACTGAGAGCTAATAGAAAGGCTAGGACCAAACCTATGTGTTTATGGGGTGATAAGAACCCGCCTAGACATTTTCATTGTCTTGCTTTGAAAAATTAAGCTATATTAACTTGATAGATGTGAAGGCAATGGGGATGAGGGAAATAATTATAAGTCGGAAGTTTTGAGGTTTAATTTAAGCCTGGTTGACTAGGGTAGAGATTTGAGTGTGTTTTCTGGAGGGTCCTATTTAAGGTATGTGAAGAGTAATCGCAGCTAGTAATATTAATTAAAATATATAGTGATTGTAGGAGCTATGTGTATTTGCTAGTGAAATGGGGATTATGTTTAGTAAATTTTGTTAGTAGAGGGGTATCTGTTTAGGGTAACTGACTCAAAAAATACAGGTTGATTCGGATTTTTGAGTACGGTTTCTTGTTATTGGGTTTTGGTTAGTTATGTTTGTGGGTTTATGGGCATGGTTGAGTATAAATACAAATTAATTATTAATTATATTTTATAAGTATGAATTAAATAATACCTTATGGTTGGGATGTTGATCAAGACATTCAATTTAGGTTCGATCATAGCAATAAAGCTTATGAAAATCACATTCAGGTACCACAGCAGTTGGTTTGGAAGACTGAAGCCTCACGGCGATGCTGACTGATTACACCCCCAAAAGTTAAAATACGAAAGGCACATCCTGCTCCCATGATTGAGTTAAGAGGGTGATAGCGCTGATACAGTCAAGATGTCTTATTTAAGGGGCATGTGTGAACGATCTTAATGATATGGCCCTGAGGTAGGAATTAATTAATTTTCCTTCTCATCCCAAAGGTATCCAAAACCCAATCCCCAAAATTGTGACCATGTAATATATAATATGTAGTAATTTATCTTTAATTTCTCCCAAACCTCCTCCAATACCCCAAAACTAGCCTCTTCCTTTTTTTCTTGAGACGGAGTCTTGCTCTGTTGCTCAGGCTGTAATAGTGATATGGCTTGATCTCAGCTCACTGCAACCTATGCCTCCCAAGTTCAAGTGACTTTCCTGCCTCAGCCTCCTGAATTACAGGCGCCTGCCACCACACCCAGCTCATTTTTGTATTTTTAGTAGAGACGGGTTTCATCAGGTTGGCCAGTCTGGTCTTGAACTCCTGACTTCAGGTGATCTACCCGCCTCGGCTTCCCAAAGTGCTGGGATTACAGGCATGAGCCACCTGGCCACTACCCTCTTCCTTATACCTATAACAACTCTGTGACAACTACATGTATATATCTGTGCATACACAGGCAGACACATGTTGCCTTTCTTTTACATTTTAACACTATTAGCACCCAATTTCTTGTGATTAGTGTCACACTGACTCAGACACAAACCCACTGTTCAACAGCTTTTCTTCACAACAATCTATGGCTCATGCCAACATGAGTCAAAGCCTATGCAGACAACTGTGTTTACTTCACTCAGTGATCTGAACCACTTCAGTGACTGTCTTCGGCTCATTTGTTGAAAACTAAATCTTTTGGTCATACATTGATGATCCTCTACCATCTAAACAAACTATTCTTCCAGCTTCATCTCTCATCGTAGTATGTAGCCAGATTTGTGACTCTAGAGTTCAACCAAAATTCCTTTCCAGTCTCTGCATTTTCTTAAGTCATTTACTCTAATTCAATTATTTTAAACTTTAATTAAACTTTCTCCTTTCACCTTGGGAACTGTACACATTTTTAAACCCCTAGCTTTACAATTCTCCATGAAATTTTTTGAAATTTTACTTATTTGAAAGAACAGTACTCCCTTGGCACTAGTCAGTTGGCTTGTAATTATTCTGGCTTTCATAATAGTTGGTTGTATAACTCTCTTATGTCCTTTAATAAATTGTAACCTTTTTTTGGACAAGCACTTGTCTTAATTATTTTTAAATCCAAGGGTCAGCCCAAAGTCTTGCACAGAAAGCTCAATAAATATTTGTTGAGCAAATTAATTATTGGATGAGTAAATATATAATGAATGTAATGAAGGCCGGAATTTTGTACCAGCAGCCAGTTTTCATGATTTTCAAGTGTAATGACATTATAGTTACATGTATCCCTGTATGTGGAAATGTCATATATGCACATATGTGGGTATGTGTGTACACATCCACACACATCCATATGCATACTCATATATACTTATGCATATGCACATTTTTATGCTTGTAAAGTGAAATTGAGGAGATTCAAGTTTTTCAAAACCTACTGTAAAGCTTATTAAATATTGCTTATATGTCATATATCAGTTAATAATTTTAATAATTTTTGACCATATGATATAAATATGAATACATATTTAAAGGTATATTCCTTTTTAAATGGTCTCTTTTAAACTGTTACTAAATAACCACACAGGACATTAGCATTTGTCAGAAGTACAGTGTTTGTAGAAAATAATGATGTATCACTGAAGCAACTGAAATTGAGGCAAAACATAGAACCTATTATGACAGTAATAGTCCAGAGGGGTAATGCAGTTTTGACACAATAAATGTCATGAGATTGTTGTTGTTTTGAGTCACAGCAAATGTAAAGTTCCCTTTCTATAGCTGGGCTTATAGCCTTGTTTATCTCTTGTGCCATTTTGCTATTCAATTTACTACATAGTGATTGTCTAATACAATGAAAACCAGAAATTCTTCCACTGAGCAATGCTGCGCTGTCACCTAGTTCTTTCCAGGGAGAAAATAGGATTGAAAGAGGTGATTACAATAAAGTAGCACCGTTATACATTGGAATATAGCGAATATGGCATTTTTTTCAGCTACATTGCATGACTAACAGCATGAAACTTTAGGCATTGCCCCAGCAGAATGAGTGACAGATCTGACTCACTTGCCTGCGTGGTACGTCCTAATTTTTCTTGCCTGCTTGAAAATAGACGGCCTAAAACAGCAAAATGGGTTATTCGATGAGGAAATCTGTGCTACAATTAAGTAAAGTGAGAAACACTGAAGTTGAAAGCAGACCAAGCTCACCCTTATTTTGACTTGCTATTTCACATGACAAAGATACAAAGCAGTTTTATATTCTTTACTATGGAGAAGGACTGTAAACTGTTTGCTCTTTTATGTCAAATCTTCCAGGGGCTGCAGAATTTTGTAACCCATAATCTGTTTACATGCCTTGCTAGTCCAACCCAAAACTGGGGCTTGAATCCCTTCCTGAAGTGTTCATTAGCATTATAAATTAGCCTCATTCGTTCTTGATGGATGCGTTGATTTGTTTGTATTTTAGTCTCTCTCTACTTTGAGAAGTAGCTTGAAACAGTTTATAATGTAAATACACATATGGGAGTTAAAAATAATGACTAAAGGTAGGAAAATATTGAGAAGAAAATAAAATAAATACTAGAGCTTACAAAGTTTCACCAGGAAATGAGGAATTCAGGCAAGGGATGGGTTTTTTCCCCTCGTGGAAAAAGATGCAAAATGAGAAAGAACATCAGAGATGTTGGGAGTAAACAGACCTTGATTTGAGAGGATCTGAAACCAGCATGTTGTAAGACAAACTGCTAGGAACATTTATCCATTTTCTTTATTTTCTCTTTGGTCTTTATTACTATTCAGTTAATTCTTTTAATGAAAATATCCATCATGACTAGACTCGTGGATAGCACACCAAGGGGATAGCTACGGTGATTGGCTGAAGTGGGAACTATCTAGATATCACTCTTCCTATCCAGAGCCTGTTTTCAGATTGAAATCTGCAGGGTCTGAAATTCCATCTATTTCAGGAGGCCACATTCCACTACAAAATGAAAGACTACCCCTAAGCAATTGATAGCAGAAGGTGATTAGCTTTCTGTTTCCTGGCAGCCAACAGATAGAAACGAAGCTTGCTAGAGAGTTATCTGATAAAATATACCTTACCACTTTAAAAGAAACAAACCCTTACTGGCCCTACGTTCTAGTAGAATTTACCTTATATTTTATTGACTTTATGGAAAGGATTCTCCATCTCCAATAGCAGGTTTTCAGGATATGCAAACATCTTTGATTTTTGTTTTAATATTAATAAAGTCTAGGGTCACACTGTTAAATTACAATTTACTAACCTCCTTTGCTCTGTCATTATTAGTTATGTCTTAGACCAGCAGTCTCCAACTTTGTTGGCACCAGGAACTGGCTTCATGGAAGACAATTTCTCCATGGACTGGTGGAGGTGGGGTATGATTTCAGGATGATTCAAGTGCATTACATTTATTGTGTACTTTGTTTGTATTATTATTCCATTGTAATCTATAATGAAATAATGATATAACTCACCATAATGTGGAATCTGTGGGAGCCCTGAGCTTGTTTTCCTGCAACTAGGTGGCCCCATATGGGAGTGATTGGAGGCAGTGACAGATTATCAGGCATTAGATTCTCATATCCTTATGAGAATCTAATAACCTAGATTCACATAACCTAGATCCCTCATATTCACAGTTCACAATAGGGTTTACACTTCTATAAGAACCTACTGCTGCCGCTGATCTGACTGGGGCAGAGCTCAGGCAGTAGTGGGAGTAATGGCGAGTGGCTGTAAATGCAGATGAGGCTTCACTCACTGGCTCACTGCTCACCGTCAGCTGGGTGGCCCTTAGAGCCCTGGGCATGTGCATTTGGCAGGTACTTTAAATTGTCTTTCTTGAATATTAATTATCTCATCAGCACTTAAGGATAACCTATTTATGAGACAGAACAAATAAATTAGGAAATAAACATTTCCTTAATTATAACAAAGACTACCCATTAAAAAAGGCATTGGAGAAAGTGGGAGAAAGAGACAGGTGGGAAACCTGTTTCAATAAAATTTACATTTAAATGTTTTATTTTCACATGCAATCTCTTTCTCCAGATCTGCTATTTTTTTCTTGGAAGGCTACCTGATATGACGTGCTCCAAGGAAGATCAACAATATATTATTACCATATTTCCAAAAACCTATGGACAAGATAGATTTCTAATAAGGGCTGCTTATTTCTAAGTGGGTACACTCTTATAATATTGGCTCTTTCCATTACTATGTATCCAAAGCCTATTTAGATGAATATTCTTTCCTTACATTCCCTAAAATAGCTGCATTTAAAATATAACACCTGGTATACTTGAAGCATCTATAAGGTGAATATGAATAAAATCAATTTAAAGGGTAATTACTACAGTTTCACAGTGAAGATTCTTTGTATCAAGATTTCAGTTTTTAAAGACTATAAATGTTGAGGGGATCATAAACGTTGAGGGGATCATAACATAACAGTCATTTGGTGAGGGCCCATATCTTCTGCTTTTGAAATAGCTTGAAGTTTATGACAATATTGTACCAAAGGTATCTAAAGCAAAAACTAAAATTTTTGCCAGAGTTGATTGTCTCATCAACAGGTGTCCTAATAAGTTCAGTTAGTTCTCCCTGAAGGTAGTGAGCAGTAGGATACTAATTTCATGCTAATTTTGACTTTGATTCCTTTCTGTCATTAATGTATTCATCAGCAGTGACATGTCCTGAACTTCACAGCAAAGCCAAAGATCTCTAGAGATTGAGTTAATTAGGCCAACAGAAAGGAGAGTAGGTAAAGCTTAGTTTTAGAAGTGAAAAACTCATAATTAACCCCTCTTATTTTAAAGGTACTAATATCCAAGTTTTTTCTTTGTAGAATAATTGTATAATGCATTATTGAAAAAAAGAGCCCTGCTTCTTTACAAAATCTTTCCAGTAAGGGGTAATATTTACAAAAGTTGTAATCAGCAGCCACAATTAATGGAATTTTTCTTTGGAATTTTTCATTTTTTTCCCCTACGGACAGGATATGAAGTGTTAGGCTGCTGATGAGGACATATCTGAGACTGGGTAATTTCTAAAGAAAAAGAGGTAAAATGGTCTCACAGTTCTACATGGGTGGGGAGGTCTCACCATCATGGCAGAAGGTGACAGTTACGTTTTACATGGCGGCAGAAAAGAGAATGAGAACCAAGTGAAAATGGTTTCCCCTTACGAAACCATCAAATCTCGTGAGACTTATTCACTACCATGGGAACAGTATGAGGGTAACCTCCCGCATGATTCAGTTATCTCCCACTGGGTCCCTCCCACAACATGTGAGAATTATGGGAGCTACAATTCAAGATGAGCTTTGGCTGTGGACACAGCCAAACCATATCATATGACTTATAAGTGAGCTTCAAGTGTGAAAGGTTTGGTTGTAGCTGGCTATGTGTGTGTGTGTGTATGTGTGTGTGTGTGTGTGTGTGTGTGTGTGTGTGTGTGTGTGTGTGTGTGTGTGTGTGTGTGTGGTGTGGTTTGTATAGTAAAGAATTTAATCTTATTCAAGGAGAGGTATGGCCTTTGTCTTTGGCTTCCGGAAGTTAATATCTAAGCCCATGGAACATTGTTTCTGACAGATCGGAGTGTAACAATGTGATTTAGGGAAGGGGGGCTGGCCATGCTAGGCATTCCAACAGCGTGGTTTGGTGTGGGAGCCTTGGGTCACATGGTAACAGCTTGACCTCTACAGGGGCTGGACACTGGGTTAGCCAAGGGTGTAGTCAGCTGTGCCTGCAGGTGGAGTGCCAACAAGCGCTCTGGGCACCAAGGCCTGGGTGAGTGTCCCTGGTTGGCAACACTCTGCCCTTATTGTCACACTTGAAGGCAACCCTTTCCATGACTGCTTAGAAAGGACAGCGGGAACTCTGAATTTGGAACCTTCCTGGACTCTGCTCTACGTGCTTCTTCATTGGGCTGATTGTAGTCCATATCCTTTAGCTGTGATACACTGTAGCCATGGGTATAGCAGCTTTATGCACCATCTGTTATTCACCAAAAGCTGTGCCCAAGGATACATAATTTCACTCTTAAAATAATCTATGGGTTGGGCTGGAATAGGTATTGTTGAAGCATTTCTATTCCTAACTCACAGTGTCATAAAATAAATATTAAGAGTAATGGCTTTAAGAACTCACTAAAAATTCTTGAGCTTCATGCCTTCCTCGGTTTCATATTGTAGTTTTCTTCTTTCTTTCTTTTTGCTGGGGGACAGGGTCTGGTGCTGGCACCCAGGTTGGAGCACAGTGACCTGATCATGGCTTACTGTTACCTCTGCCTCCTGGGCTCAACTGATCCTTCTGCCTCAGCCTCCTGAGGAGCTGGGACCACAGACATGCACACCCAGCTAATTTTTGCATTTTTTGGTAGAGACTGGCTATTGCCCAGGCTGGTTTTGAACTCCTGGACTCATGTAATCTGCCCACCTCAGCCTCTTAGAGTGCTGGGATTACATGTGTGAGCCACCGTGCCCAGCCTGTAGTTTCCTTTTGATGATTATCCAGGAAGGAACTACAGTCAGCACATCCCAGTCTGCAAGTCATCCTGAATGGGAGCGGCCTATTCAGGGGAGAAGTAGGATGGCTGAGTCCTTTCCCTTAGCAGCAAAGTGGATATTGGAACATAGAACGATTGCTAAGACATGACCTTCAGGCTTAAATCTAGGAGGAATTGGGAGGATTTCCCAAAGGAATTTCAATGGCAAAAATTTGTGAGTTTTAATGTGCAGGAAAAAATTACAAAATAACAAAAGTCTGTCTGTAGTATCAATCAGCCTCCTGTTTGTATTCTCACCCTAGTTTCTGTTATCCAGCTCCAGGGTCCACGCATGTATGTGGCTCATGGGACATTGCAGCCAGAGGTATCACTCGAGCTTCACTTCCTATCACAGACTTTATTCTCACACATATTCAGAGGATAGTGTAGCTTCTCAGGTAATTTAAATTCAATGTTAATTAGATAGCAGATTAGTTTGTGCTCCTCTCATGGAGATTTAAACTCAAAGAACTACAATGCCTTCAATTTTAAAAAGTGAACATGATGAAGATTGCAGACAATCTAATTTCAGGTGGATGGAAAGAGATAATTTTGATGTTTGTGTTGTTAAATGCTCTTGGTACTCCTACTTTCAGGTACCCAGTAGGTTTGCATTTTCTAGCCCTATTTGGTGAGGAGGGGCCATGTAACTAGCTCTGGAGCAAGGTGTGAGTAGGAGTTGTGTGTGGCTACTTGGCTGGAGAATTTAATCACCAAAGTAAGACCATCAAGACCTCTACCTCTTAGGCATTAGCTAAAGGAAATCATGATAGTAGCTGGCTAATGGCACTGTTGTGAAGATTAAATTTTCACAGTGTCTACTAAGTGGCTAGCATAGAGTTCAACACATTTAACTATTTAATAAACATTAGTCATTAACCTGTCACAATTTGACATTATAATATAGCAACATTTCATGAATAAGCTGTCGCAAAACATTGATTCCATATATCCAATCATGACTTTAGGATGAAGTCATCATTTTCTACTGTCAATTGATAATTTAAAAAATACTAATGTTTGGAAAATAAATTAGTAAGTAAATATGTTGAAAAACAGATTTTCTGAGCTTTATGAATAAGTTGACTCTTTGAATCACCCACACACATTCTCTTGTCCTCACTGGGAGGCAGCCTCACAAAGTTGAAGTTAGAACCTTCAAAGTTGAACTTAGAGGCATGTAAATGCAGCTCCCTAAATTGATAGTTTTGTAATGCTAGGAAAGTTGATTAAACCCTGACAAGTAGATTCCTCATTTTTTAAATTTGGCTGATTCAGAATGTATTGTGATATTTATATTAAATATATAAGTCTACACACACACACACACACACAAACACACACACTCACACACACACACACACACACTCACACACACACACTCTCTCTTACTGAATTTTCCAAAAACATCTCCTTTCTTCTGAAAACAACTCCCACATTACCTTTCAGGACCCATTCTTCTCCCTAGTCAACCACATGATTCAGATGGGCCCTGCCAATCACATAAGCCATTTCTAACTCTACCTCTCCCACCCCCCATCCTGGCCACAAAGACAGCATATACCCAAGGTGAGCCAGTCTTTCTTTCTCTGGGATTTTTTACATTAGAATAATGGAAGAGAGTCTCTTCCTTTCTGGTAACAAAATTGAAAGGTGAACCAGTAGTTGCCAGCAGCCAAGGATCCAACTTCATGGGAAGAGTTGGTCAGAGATTAAAGGTCAAGGGAGAGATGGAGAGGGCCTGAGGATGTGTGTTTTCCAACTTTCTTTCTTGCTTGCTTTTTTTCTTTTTTTTGAGATGGAGTCTCACTTCTTCACCCAGGCT